AGGAATGCTGTTTCTAAAACTGTTCTTACAGCATACCCACTAACTAGCATGTAATGTAGTTCAGTAATGTAACACAAGGTCGAAGTCAATACAAGCATTCAGGCCCTCAACACGTGCAGTAGTTTGGAAACTACAAAAGAAAAAAACCATCTATCTGCTGCCTCCTGTGGGGTTCTCTCTGCTTACAGCCCTCATGAGGCATAATCTGCGGTATGGAAAATAATTTACCCAGGAATATCATAATCAGAATTTAACAAGTTGCAAAAGACTCAAATGGTTAATGGTCATGATGAAAAGCCATCTCGATGGAAAACTGCTCAAAATAGATTTCTTGCACTTGTCTATCTTCATAATTAATAATTCTTCCTTGGAAGTTTCTCCCCATTAACAGGGGGAAAAAAATATTTATTCAAGACAGAAAATCTGACAGCCGTGTCTGGCCAGCTATTGGCTCCCCATTTGACTTGATGCGCAAGAGAACAGTGCTCACAAATGTTTCATTCACAGCTCTGACAAGGAAGCCTTGTGTCTAATTTAAAAATCAGTAGAAAAGTCTAATCATGCCAGAACTTTGATTGTACTTCAGTGACTGGAGCAGAATAGAAACAATGGAAAATGACACCTCATTTATTCAAAACAGATCTGTTGCTGTTTTGAAAACTGTACTAGCATCTACAATGTCTTTCACTGCATACACATAAACACAAGCACGAAAAATGAAATGTACTTCTGTGTATCCATCTGACAGCTAATGTCAGTAAAACACATCCTGTGAGATCGACCCTCAAGCTCAAGCTGTTTATGAAAATGAAGTTGCTGCCAAAAATTTTACAGCTACAAGCCACAGCTTCTATAAATTTAAAAATTGTGTTAAATTTGATAAAACAATAAAAACAAAACCTAGGGGTCAATAGTTGCCGCATTCCAAAATTCTTCAAGGGATTTTGTGACTTTGTTTTTCTCGTAAGTTAAGGACAGTAAGCACTACCTAGTGCTTTTAGATAATGCTTTTTCCCCTAATAAAATCCCAACGTGATGGCCTGTA